CCCAGAGCGGAGCAGCTCCGCAAAGACTTCAGAGTCCAGTGGACTGAAGAAGACCGACTCCTGCGACAGCGGCATCACCAAAAGCGACCTACGGCTGGACGAGGGTGGCGCACGCACCCCTGTAGACCGAAGCCCGGTCCTACTCGACGGAAAAACTCCCCCGATTCCACCTATCCCCCCTATTCCCGAACACACGCTGCACGCCTCACTCCTGGAACTCCGTACTGAACTTAAAGAGGAGCTGTCGGCGCTCGGTAACCGAATGGTTGCCTTGGAGACACAGGTTGCTGAGGTATTGAGGTTGCTAAGGAGCAGAAAGTCTCCGACCTCTCCCATGTCGCTCTTCCAGATCTCACGACCGACATCACCAGACACAGACAAGGAGGACATATTCCCTTGAAGAAAAAGAGAGAGGTAAGCTTCTTTCTTCTTGAAAGGGAAATGATTCAGAGACTTTCTCTGAGAAACGATAAAAAAAAAGAAAATGGAACTACTTCTGACATCTGTGCTAGCAAAAAGCATGACAGACACTCTGAGAGTGAGTGTGTGTGTGTGTGTGTGTGTGTGAGAGAGAGCGAGAATGAGTGAGGGAAAGGATGAAATAAGACACTGGTTAGGAGAAGAGGATGTCTCATCCCAAGGCAGAGCATCTGTGATACCAAAGTGATGGTGTGTTAGTTGTCACACAGACACCCTGTGTCGAACTGCTCCCTGTTTTAGTCCTGCGAGCTCTTGCCGCAGGGCCCACTCTGACTGATGGTTGTCATGGCAATGCACGGTCCCCAACTGCAAGTGCGGGCCCTTCAAGATCCGCTCATGTAGCAAGTCTTCCCCTCTCTCTTTCGAGGTCTCACACACACACACACTGCTGTTCATGCTCTGCAGTCTTTCTGGTATAGAGATCCATTCTGCACCGTCCTGTTGGGTAACTCACCGCCGGACACGAGCCTTTATCAGGAATCACAGAGCTAAGCATCTTTCCCAAATATGTGGCGGTGTGGATTTGAGCTGCTAGCCGAAAGTTTGAAGAAGCAGAGCGCATCCAAGGAACCATGGAAACCCCAGACAAACGTGTTTGTACAACGACAAATCAACTACTATCCCAAGAGTTGTAAATGTTACTGGAGAAACTAATGAGCTCTTCAGGGGTTTTGAAGTGTAACAGCTGTTAAGATCCTTTCCATGACTTGCGTCACTGCACATCTCAACAAACTATAAAATAAAAGCTGACAACAGTGGTTTAATACATGTTTAGGGATGCACAATATATCGGTACCATATTGGTCATAGGTTAATATTACAGATTTATTGGATAAATATCAGCCAATATTGGATATTTAATTGTACAGTACATGTACACTTCCCATATTTTGTTTACATTTCATTTGCCATCATCTAATGCTCACTTGAAGTTAGTCTTTAACTAACTTAATTTAACAAGACTGTTGTAATCTGTAGCAAATACTGAAATTAATATAATAATAATAATAAGCCATTTTCATTAAGTACATTATAATGGTGTGATGCCTAAATTCACTTTTAGCATTAAAATTATTTTATTTTTTAATGTTTTATTTTTTATTAATTTAGACAAAAAATATAGAAAATGTAATATTCGCCATTTTCAGTTATCATTTATAACATAAATCACTCAAAAAAGAAAATTCTGTCATTAATTACCCTCATTAATAACCCTACCCTCATTGATTAACCCATAAAACTTTCGTTCATCTTTGGAAGACAAATTATATTTTTAATACAATTTGAGGGCTTTCTTTCCCTCCATTGACAGCCACAACTTTCAATCCCCAGAAAGTAATATAATTAAAGCTGCAGTCCGTAGCTTTTTTGGGGTTAAAAAATATCCAAAATACATATTTGAGAAAATACATAACCAGCCAGTGTTCAAAACTCTCTGCTTGCCTTAGCTCGATTCAAAGTGGTGAGCTTGTAATAATGTGTTTAATTCCAGTGGTACTGGTGGATTTCCGCGGGAGATTCGAGCATGTCTTTGCGTCATTACGTCACATCTGTCCACATAAAGAAGGAGTCTCGGCTAGTATAAGCTATATTGCGTGTGAGGATGTTGGAGGTGGAGATTTATAGCCTTTTCTCACAGCACTTGATATAATTAAACTTATTAATTTGATGGTGGATCCAGAAAGTTTAAACGAAAATCACCAGTGACAACAGATTCACCCGCTGTAAAATGCAAAAGACTTCGTTCGGACTTCGGAGTGGCTACAGAAAAAAAGAGACAGCAACTGGACCCATGCGAAAACAAGGATATCGGAAGGACATTACATGTAGTCTCGCAATGCTTACGTTGTTAACATTAACAATTTGAGAACAAAGTATAATTTGCACGGTTTTGCGTGATAAGCGATTTTTGGATTTAATCAGCGCGATTTACTGCAATGTCAGAACCAGAACAAAAGTGGATGTTTCTTACTTGTTCAGATTACATTTTCCGGTGAAAATTCTTATGTTGGTCATACTTTCAAAAAGAATAATCTGTGATTCTGAATGCCAGTATCCACACCGGCGCGGTGACTGACAGCCTCACAGTCTCCTCAAACATTGTGTTCATCCGCGCTGTGCCGTGTCGAAGTACAACCAGAGAATGTCTAATTGAAGAGAATTGCCACTGTCTGGTTACTTCCGGTTACTGGACTGGCTGCAGTAACACGTCTCTTTCCATGCGGGGGCGCTCGCAGGCGAGTGCAGAATGAATGGGAGTCTATGGGGTTTCACCCCCAGAAATCCACTTTTCTCAGGATGTAATTTTTTGTCAAGTAATTTGAAAGTTGCACTCAAAAGGGAGGGCTAAGATAATACACTCAGCTGAAAATTGTATTTTTAAGATCACTTATCTGTTCTAAAAATCCATTCAAAAATGTGATGACGTCACATAATAGCAGAATGCTAGCGTGTTCCGGCTAACAACGGCCTAACCTGTAAGAAATCGAAAGGACATAAGTACTCGTTCATTCGACTTTTGGCCTATAATCTATATTGAACTTGCGGAATCAACAATAAAATATATGTTGATTCAACGACAAGCAGGAGAAAGAGATAGATTTAGCCGTTTAGCTCCATAGACTCACATTCATTCTGCACTCGCCCGCGATCACCTCCAGTGGAATTCTAATGGAACTGCAACCAAGATGATACACAATGGGGCTAATAGGAGGGGGCCAAGGCTCTCCGTTAGATGGGCTCTGGTACAACTCACGTAAAGTTGATAATTCGATTTCGAACAGAGATGGCGACAAAGAGGAAAAACTGCGGACTGCGGCTTTAAAGTAATCCACGTGACTCAACATTCTCAACATCACTTTGTGGTTCCGGGAATTGTTGTGTGATGGAGTTTAACTTGCTGGATAATTGAATGGGGACTCGATGAGGCCAGTACACCAGTGGTTTAACTAAAATGTTATGAACTTGGTAACGCAAGTGCTTTGTTTGCACAAAAAAACCCCATAATTTACCACTTTATTGACAAAATATCTCCAACGTGCATTCACGAGAGCTTCACAATGCATGCGTGTTGTGTTGATGCAAAAGCACATCGGAGATTAATATTTTGTAAATAAAATGGCAAATCGTGTTTTTTTGGACAAAGCACTCGTGTCACTTCATAAAATTGAGGTTTAACCACTGGAGTCACATGGATTACTTTAATCATGTCTTTACTACCTTTATGGGGCTTGAAGGTGGTAGTTGCGTAGCTGTCAATGGAGGGACAGAAACCTCTCTCAGATTTCATTAAAAAGATCTTCATTTGTGTTCCGAAGATGAGCGAATGTCTTACGGGTTTGAAACGACATGAGAGTGAGTAAATGATGACAGACTTTTCATTTTTGGGTGAACTAACCCTTTAACTATCGACTTATAAATATCCATCAGAATATTAATATTGGTGCATCCCTATCAAATTTGTTGAAATTACACCAAAATTTCTTAAGCTGGTCCAGTTGGGGGGTGTTCACACTTGCCATGTTCGATTCGATTGGTCTGTTTGTGCGGTTCATTTGAACGTGTGAACACTGCCATCCGAACCCTTGTGCGCACCAAACAAGTGGACCGAAACCCTTAAAAAGATGGATCTCGGTCCGCTTCCAAACAAACTCTGGTGCGGTTCGAATGATACATGAACGCAACACGAACCAAATACATGTAAACAAACCAAAAAAAGACCATAAAAAAGGACATAATGCTCATGCATATCGTTTTTTTCTCGCCATAGTCGCGATGTTGCCCATCATAGTTCAGTACAGGCATTAGAACCACGTCTCCATGCAGCAAATCTTTGTTTGTGTGTGTAACGGAGGGATTCCCGCCACTGTTTTGACTCCTTTACACTTTTTATAAGCTCTTCACGAGTTCTCAGCTGGTCAAAATACCATCACATGCAGGCTACGCACACACAACGAGCGCATTTATCCCAGCACACAGCACTGTTTTATATGCTCAGTAAGGTTCGTCTCAAAATAGGAAATACATCATAGAAGCAGACCAATCAGGTTGTGAACATATCCCTTTTGGTTCAGTGATAAAAATTAAAAAATCTGAATGCTAATCGGACCAGGACTAAATGTTTTTTTTTTTTTGTCTGGACCACACGAACCAAACTACAAGTGTGAACACCCTAAATGTGAGGAAACAACCTTTTTTTTTACTGAAAAGCAGGATTTTCATTTTGATATTACACAAGTGGTCCTTCTCCTCCCCTTTATGCTGTCAATGGATATTCCTTTGACATGGTGTGAAATTGTTCAAGTTTGAGCGTTGTTATACAGCATGTGGCCTTCCCACATTGTTGTTCAGAGGTAATGCTGTAGCATGATGTTTAATGCAGTTGTTGATGCAACTCATGTGAAAGGATCTTCACGTTTTTTGGTCTACAATAGGCATATTCAAGCAAGTTCATTAATGACTTGCTGGATTGCAGTGGCCAAGTTTTATAAAATAACACTGAAAGAACTAGTGAAACAAAAGAATGTATGTGGTTTCTTTATCAATGATTGGGTCTTCCAGAAAGCACACAAACATTTTATACCACGGGCGCACCATTATTAATCCGATCTGTTGTGCATTGTAGCTTTGTTATCCAAAATGAAATGATGGATGTAATCTATACATATGATTTCTGTCACAACACCACAGTCACATATCAAAACACAGTTACAATGACCTTTCAGCATTACAAAAAACATCAAAACAAAGAATCTCAGGAACGAAGAGGGGTGATGGTCTGAGAGCTCATTCTGACCCCCTTCCTGGATGTTTTTACATATTCAATACTGAAGATGTGGCATTATCTTCACACCAGCCCTGTTTAGCTTTTCATTGGTCAGCAGGGGAGACTGGGGCTGCTTGTCAAAAGCCTTTTTTTGTAGCCAAGACCTTAAAGTATGTGTCTATAGAGAAATTGCCTTGTAAAAAATAAAACAAACTTGGGAAATATTCACTATAGTTGTGACAGCTAGTCCCAGTCTCCCCTATTATTATATTAAATAAAGCTACTAATGCAAGTTAGGAGTTAATCTGTTAATCACATGGCTAAGATATAAATAGCTGTTTATTTTGCTCTCTTTTCCAGCGTCCCTCTCCCATATCAACTCCTTCTTAATTTCCATAACGAGGTCCGGGGGGAACACAGAGATCGAGTCTCGTGTATTAGCCTCTCTATTCAGAGCAACACCACCAAACCTGATTATCTTTATCTCTGTCACAGAATATATGAACTTGTATATATTCTAAGATGATGCTTAATCTTTCAGGTTTTCTCATTTGTATCTTAGAAAGAGAGTGCCTGACCATACAAACTCTGATAAATGCGTTGTGTGTGTGGAGAATTGTGGTAATGAACATACTGTGTGCGTCAGATGAGTGGTTAAGGGACATGTTAGCATGCTGTGAGATGTTCTCAGGTTAGAGAGCTCATTATCAGGTCCACAGGAGATGTGTTGAGGTCAGTATATCACCTCATTGCTTCTCCACTACCTGAGAGCAGAGAGAAAGAAACACTACTCAGAACTCAGAAGAATGACATAAAACCAAAAAGCTACCATGGTCATAACAAACATCACATCAGAAATATTTTGTTAGGGAAAGAAAGACAAGAAGCTCCACACGTCATGTTTTTCCTACATGAAGATTTATTTCTGTTACAACAAAGGTACATTTTGTACAGTCTGAAAATTTTGTATGGCAAAGAAAAAAAATCCTAGTTTCTTTAAAAAAAATATATATATTTTGCCCTTAAGAGGTGATTCTCTCATTCTGTCAGCAAGACACCAGAGGAACAGTATTAAATGGCACAATTCCCATTAAGGTTATTTTATGCTTCAGAGCTTGTTTTACAATAATGATATCTTAATTAGCTTTAACGTTATGGGTCATTTGCTTACACTCCAAATACTGAGCAGAAATTGGAAAAGGTTTAGCATTTGTATCTGGCAACCCAGAACTGATTTTAAATAAGACATATGAATGTTACAATATTAATAACAATACTGACATGCAAATCCATGTAAACTGGAATGTAAAGCATCAGCCTGTGCTGATTCTGAAGCAATAATCATTGCTGCTGTATTTCACACGGATTATTCCTGCCACGCTTCTCCAGCTCAGATACAACATTTAACCTGAACCACATGATGTAATCAACATAATAAGAAACAAACGCAGCCCTGATGTCACTGCATGCCTCTGCAGCACAGCAATAAGAGTTTTAACATTCAGAGAATGCACTTATTCTCTGTTAGAGAGAATGAGATTGAGGAGGATTGTACGGAGTTAATTTGTTTAGGCAGACATGCAAAGCCCTTAGATACTAGCATGGTTTACTTACAGAGATTCGTTACCATCTGATCGTGACTGATTTGCTCAAATACGACAACAGCATGGCTTGATTTGCACTTAAAATAAGGTTAAGACATGCATGGTAAATACAAAGGAAAATTGGAATAAATTACCATTAAAAAGAAGTACTCCTCTACTGCAGGAGTATTTAATCTCTGGCCTCTTACCCCATAGAGCTAATGGATTCGGTCTTGTAGTAGACCTGTCTGACTCTTGGTGAGTGAGTGAGTCCAAATTTGCATTTAGTAGGGGATATGGATCCTCACAGATCTCAGACTCGCATTAGGCAGTTTGAATAGTTTTTTCAGACTTGAGAACCAAAGTATCGCATCTCAACAAAACAGGCCACTACATCATAAGAGACCAGTCCATGATAAAGAAACTTTTCTATGGTCGGGTTTCTTTGACAGTAAGTATCCTATTTATCCCAAAATCAAAAAGAAAAAAGAAGAAATCACATTTTACATAAAGTAAATCAGGTACATTTTTAGGACTGTTTTATCATATTAAATTAAATATAATAATAATAATTGATTAAATATTACAATTCATTTGACATATTAATATTGAACCTAAATTACACAATTTAGTATAAAGAATACCACCATAAGTATTTTCTCTTGCATTACAGTACTGAGAACTGAGCATGAAATGATGAATTTAATGTAAAACTATAAAAACATAAACATTAAAATCTTAATGCATGTATTTATTTATGCAAAATATAATTTCTTATTTTTTCCTTTTGAATTTGGGGTGAAATATGAACTGAACATGTTTTTGACCGATTTTGTGAGAATCAACCAAACACGCAATTGTACACACAGCATATTAGTTTGTGTGTTGCTGCATGTACGTATATATGTTTGACTAGAAACTTGACGTGTACGGTACAATATTTTGGGGAACAATGAGTATTTTTATAGAGTCCTTAACACTGATACTGAAGTCCAAACGGAGTTGTGCAGGGTTTGTAAGGACAAATATGTCTGTACGCTCACAAAGGTCCTTCTAAGGGTCATTCTTTAAAAACAGCCCAAATTAAGAACTTAACACTTTCAGATGTATTCAGCAGACAGCATGGCCATTATACACTGACTGAAACATCCTCACTGAAATCATTTCTTCACATGGACATTACTACTACTGTAAAGCACAAAGACAACATTTGTAAAATTGCTGTAAAATATTATTTATGACAATAAAATATTTTATATACGTATTTTTGCCCATACTCTCTTTACTTGATTGCTGTCAACTGAAGTATTTCTCTTTCTTTTAGAACATAAAGCTACTTTTGAAAACACATCAACTTTGAAGTCAGCATGAAATCAATGTGAATGTGAATGGTTTACTTATTCAAAGGAAATCAAATTGTCCATAATAACTATTAGAAACAGGTTATGTGATAATGTTCACCAATAGCCAAATAGCTATTTAGCCATTGTTTTAGCGAAACTTCAGGTCTAGCTCCATTATGGTATGTATCGCCCACTTTTCATCATCCAATCCTATTCCCAATGAATAAAATTAAATCCATAATATTTAAAATCTCATTAAATATTGTTTCAATAACCAAAAAAATACCACATTGTGAAAAAATGGCCAATTCATGCTGACTTTAAGCAGAGGGAAATACTGAGTTTTTTAACTGTGCAATTACATATACTCTGATGAGTGTGTCATTTTACATAATTAATCAACATGCATTTACTGTGCTGAAAAGCACACACACATACAGTGCTGGTCAGAACTATTTCCCCCCTTGGTAAATATGATCAAAGATGGCTGTAAAAAATAAATCTGCATTGTTAATACTTTTGATATTTTATTTTAAAAATTTGCAAAAATCTAACCTTTCATTGAAGTAAAAGAATTGAAAGTGGGGCGGAAATCACATTATGAAATAAATGTTTTTCTCCAAAACACGTTGGGAACAATTACGGTATTTGCCCCCTTTTATTAAATATGTTTTGCAACCTCCTTTTTCCAAGATAACAGCTCTGAGTCTTCTCCTATAAGGCCTGATGAGTTTGGAGAACACCTGACAAGAGATCAGAGACCATTGCTCCGTACAGAATCTCTCCAGATCCTTCAGATTCCCAGATCCATGTTGGCACTTCAGTTCAGCCCACTCATTTTCTATTCATGTATCTGAACAAGATGTCCAGGACCTCTGGCAGAAATCCCTGTGCACGAAACCCATCTTAAGTGTGCTGCCAAAAAAGCACTTTTTTTTTGTTTCATCTGACCATAGAACCCGTCCCGTTTGAAGTTCCAGTAGTGTCAGTTACTTTTCAAATGTTCTATGGACAGATGAAAAAAAAAAAAAAAGCTTTTTGGTAGCAAACACTTAATATGGGATTGGTTCATACAGGGATAAAAAAGTACCCCATGTGTGAAATTAAATGCTCTGCTGTATCTTTAATACCGTGGGCCTAATTTTCTACCAGAGTTCCTGGACATCTTGTTCAGATACATGGCATCATGGATTCGATCAAATACCAACAGATAAAAAAAAAAAAAAAACCTGACAACCTCTGCTAGAAATCTTATAATGGGCCATGTTTGGATCTTCCAACAGGACAGTGATCCAAAAACAAACATCAAAATCAAAACAAAAATGGGCCACTGAGCACAAAACCAAGCATCTGCAATGGCCATCCCAGTCCCTGACCTGAACCCTATAGAAAATGAGTGGGCTGAACTGAATTGCCAACATGGATCTGGGAATCTGAAGGATCTGGAGAGATTCTGTACGGAGCAATGGTCTCTGATCTCTTGTCAGGTGTTCTCCAAACTCATCAGGCCTTATAGGAGAAGACTCAGAGCTGTTATCTTGGAAAAAGGAGGTTGCAAAAAATATTTAATAAAAGGGGGCAAATAATTGTTCCCAATGTGTTTTGGAGAAAAACATTTATTTCATAATGTGATTTCCCCCCACTTTCAATTATTTTACTTCAATAAAAGGTTAGATTTTTGCTTTTTTATTTTATTTTATAAAATATCAAAAGGATAAACAATGCAGATTTATTTTTTACAGCCACCTTTGATCATATTTAGGGGGGCAAGTAATTCTGACCAGCACTGTATGCACATTAAGGACCTATGTAATGTGTGGTGTCAGTAAGCAATTTCAGCGTGACTCACAGAAAGGGCAGGTCACACATGACCTCTGCCATACCATCTACTAAAATAACATCATATAACCGAGAAATAGACAGGGATTGCAATCATAGCAAAATCGATTAAAAAAAACTACTGAGTACACCTTTATTTCCTTTTAATAATATATACTATAATAATTATTATTTACATTTATATATTTTTGGTTGTATTTTTTGCTTATTTGTTAACTTGCAGTATTATTTTGTATTGCAAAATTTCTCTTTGCTTTTATGCTGCGGTGGCAATATGGAAATTTTTTAAGCATATGGTAATACATAATGCCAATAAAGCACACTAAAATCTAACTTGAGAGAAAGATTTAGTGAAGAGATTATGAAAGATTAATCTGATGCTGATAAAGGTACACTGCAGAGATAAAGCTCTTTAAAGTGTAATCCCTCCTAACACTGAAACACACACGCACGTCTTACCTCTATCTAATAAAGGAGAAACTCCAGGCTAGTAGATCACTGATCTAATTAACTACACAGAGCAGCTTGAGCTGTTAGTAAGAGGATTGAAGTATAGATACACAAGGAGAAAGAGAGAATGAATGAGACTAGACCGAGAGATCAGGACAAGAAAGATCAGAGGGACAAAATGAACCTGAGGATGGAAACATACACAGATGGACGGACAGGAAGAGAGCGAGAGCAATGGTCAGGCTGTATCCTGGCCGATGATCAGAGACATGTCACCATCAGTGTTCAGACAAACTCATAAATAAACCAGGATTAACCATCAAACACACACCTGGAGCATTCACACCATTTCATTTTCTCTCACACACACACACACACACACACAGTGTTCGAATACAGCATAGCTAAACAACCATATAATATTGGAGGAGTTGAAAAGAATCTTATAGTTGTCCACATTGTGACTGGTCGAAACTATTGTAAAACTTTAAATACCATTGTGTTTTCTGCCTTCCCATGATTCCACCCTGAGCGGTGTTGTCATCTCATGTCCCACTCAATACCAACTTGAGCAAAGCAATAGAGAAAAGCAACCACTGGAACGGCCACAGAACACCAGCCTGTTGAAGAAATAGAGAAGAGAGAGTTTGAATGATACAAAACAAAGGTAAGCAGGAAGAATATTGTGGTTTGAATTTTAAAGCCTACAAACAAGATAATAAGCAGACACCAAACAGGAAGTGAGGCTGTATCTGGATTTGTCAATTCCCTGAGGATACCTGAACAGTTTTGGACAGACACATACAGGGCTCCAGAAAAAACAAAATCAGGAATGAAACATTTAGGACCTCATGTGTTAAACAATATCGAATAATATTTTTATCCCACAAATTAGAAGTGTTTTTTTTTTATTCTAGAATATAATTTTTATAGAACACATTAATTTACTCAAATCTGTGTTGTGAATATGTATCTTTAATTATTACATGTTGTCATACAAGCAACCAGTTAGTAAGTAGACAAATGTAAGTTTCACAAACCTAATCTGTCTACTTACTAACCAGTTCCCTGTTGGATATACCTGAAAAATGACTCATGATTCTTTAAGGGAGTCAGCAAACTCAGTAAGGGATCCGAACGATTCATTTATTGCACGAGTATGATTCCAATGGCTAATTCTCAAGCAAATTATTTGAATTATTCTTTTAATTTGATAAAAAAAAATGGTGCTATATCGAATTCTATGACTTATTGAATTCTGTGCCCGTTCTAGGCACTGTTGTCACGCTATAACACTAACCCCAACTTTATCCTTAAAGGTGCAGTATGTAATATTGACAGCTAGCGGTTGAAATGAGTACTGTAGTACAAATTCAAAATATTAGAGATAGTCGTTTCCCCCATCCCTCCTCCTTGATCCGTTGATTTATCGGTTGTAATATTCTTCTGGTGTTAGAGCTTTTTAGATGGATGACGAAGCTTTTAAGGTCGAGTACATTCTGAATTCTCTGAGCCAGTTTGTTTGCTGGCTTTCATGTCTGCAATACGCTGTGTTTTCTGCCAACTGGCAACCTAGGGTGTCGAAATACTATTGGGAAAATTGGCAGTGGGCGGGATCACGCAGACTAAAACAAAAACAGACATTCTGACCCAGAACGCACATTTCAAAGTAGAATAACTGGCTGTAGCATTGTTTTTCGGAGACACAAGTATGTGACCTTAGCATGTTTCCTAAATCTCTGTAAACATATTATGGTAATTTTATGCTTTAGTACAGTAAAAAAATAAAAAAATACAGCACCTTTAACCCTATCGTCACTACAGCGCCTACTACGGTCACAGAATTTGATAGGTCAAAAAATCCATTGTTACACCTGTTCATAAGAGTTAATGGTTCACGAATCTTGCCTTCGTCTTGCCATCTAAAAAGAAAGATGACATACTGTATGTATGAAGAGCACAAGTACTGCACCTGTGTTCAACTATTTCAAGTACTTAATTTATATTTAAATATAAACATATTTATCAGATTATTTCAGGTCTACACCACCCCTTTCAATTGAAATTTATTTTAAAATGAGCTCAGTTGGATCGAATTAAGTGTTTAAATGAAGGCTTCCCGGTCCGATTGAGCATATGGACGGAAACAAAGCATTAGTGACTGTCTAGATAGTTTTTTTGTCCATATTTGCAATCATTTTAAGTCGCACCTTGGAGCCCTGCAATTTCAAAATTTACACACACATGAAAGTCTGTATAGAATTGCTTATGTAGCAGCATTTACAAGAGGTTACTGCAGTATACAGGGATCATTTCCCCCACACAAACTCTGATTTATAACCTCACACAGATTAACAGGTATACAATATGAAATCTTATTAGACCACAGGGGTGTATTCACTCATCACATTTACATTCGCCCCCTGCAGTCAGTAAATGAACAACCGTCCATATTGGCATGGGTCACTTTCTAAAACCTTTACACTCACTATACCCAGTGGTAAAATAACCTTCCAAACTTCACCTGAACAGCAGAACCCATTATGATCTTCAAAAACGGCTGAAGAAACACCTTTTCCGGAAGCACTTCACTTAATGCACTTATATGTCTGCTCCTCTCTAGTACTTATGGTTATGTGTTATGGTATAGCAGTACTTGTGTTACATTCTCCCTCCCTTGGTTTGCTTGTGTTACTCCCATTTGTCATTTATAAAAGATGTATAAATGTATTGCAAGATGCAAATAAAATGTTAAATAATTTTTAAATTATTATATATTTTCAAATTATCATTGATATATATTTTATCATAGAATTTATTTCCAAATTATTATCAGTGACAGATATAGTGTACAATATATGTTATAGGCTATATATGAGGAGATGCTTATAATCATGGCTCCCCTCAACATGTCCACTAAGAGCTCGAAGCGGTTAAAACACACCAGACAGGAGTGTGTGTGTGTGTGTCTCTGGTGGGTTCATTAAAAGGACTTGCCTTGTCGCATCAGGGACAAGAACAGAAGGATGGAACAAAAAGTAAATAAGAGCAAATGAAAGAAGGGGGTTGTGGATTACATTTGGTTACACCTCATTGTCCTTCAGGTGCTAGAGTCACAGCCTTGGCCACTAAATGCATTTTGTCATGCCAACTACAAACACAAAACACTGCAATGAAGCAGAAAGGCTACAAAAAAGTTGGGATAGAAAATTAAGGAGGTGAGAGGTAGTGTGTGTTATGTCTAATTTTGTCTGTGTAAGAATACTATGGAAGCTCACAATTCTGACTTTTTCTCACATTTGCGAGTTTATGTCTTGCAATTCTGACTTTTTTCTCATAAAAAATCTTTAAGATATAAAGACGCAATTGCGTGTTATAAAGTCACAATTGGAAGTTCATATCTCACAATTCTGAGAAAAGTCGTCAGACTTGCGAATTATAAAATCAGAATAGCAAGATATAAACTTGCAATCACGAGTAAAAAGTCAGAATTGCGTGTTTATATCTTGCAATTTTGACTATTTCTTGCTATTTTGTTTAATAAAAGGGGGCCATTAATTGTGTCCAATGTGTATTAGAGAATTTTTTTATTTCATAATGAAACAAATTACCCCATTTTCAATTGTTTTTCTTCAATAGAAGGTTATATTTTTGTGATTTTCTTGAATAAAAGGTCAAAAGGATTAACAATGCAGATTTATTTTCACAGGCTTCTTTTTTCATATTTATCAAGGGTGCCAAAAATTCTGACACTGAAGGACTGAATTACTTCAAATGGTCAAAAAAGGTGCAAATAAGTTTAATTAATATAACAAATCAAATGTAAAGTAGTAGGATATGATTCTTATAATAAATGGTGAATTGAACTGAACGAAGTAATGAAAAACTTCAGGGTTCTGTGATTGTCTGTGCCCAGCAGGTCTCTCTCTGAGCTTTACTGTACCCCGCAGCTCCTCAAAACCTTTGGGTCAGAGTATGACTGACAGTTGCTGTAGGGGGTGGGTGGGATCAGCACGGCTACCTTTCAGAGATGTCAAGAATGAATGATACCATGGCGGCCGTTCTTAAGGCTCTGTGGGGTTTATGGTGGTGGCAAATAGATAAATAGAAGTTTCTAGAACTTCCAGACAGACATTCACCTGCCTTTAGCTTTCTAATCTTTGCCTCAAAGGCATCTTTACACAGAAAAGGCGGCACAGAAACCAAATCTGAAGCGGCATAAAATCACAAAAACACAGAATGTTTATAGAGACAGAGCGACACACGTTTGGGAAAACAATCCAACCATCTCCATTGACTTTGTATTGCGTGAAGCTGCCTTCTTGTTATTTCTGACTTCTAACAAAAAAACAAAACAAACAAAAAAAAACATCTAAAAGCTGCTTTGTGACAGGGTGTACAGCAAACAAGCTGAAAACCCCAAAACTAAGTTTTTATAAGCTGTCGACCCCCAAAAAACAAGCGTTTAAGGACAAAAAAAAGTGAAAAAGTGGATAAAGGCAATAAGACGTGAAGCATCAGCTGGAAGAATGGGTAAATTGTGGGATCCTGACACTCAGTATATGCACTAAAAGCACACTACGTGTGCAGCAAACATTGTCACTGGTAAGTCAAATATCCAAGTGGCTTTTTATACCTGGCCACTTCATGCGTTTTCTCAGATCGGATAGCTATCTGATTTATCAAAACGATTCCATTTACACGTCACATGGTCACATAAATGTGTTTTCGCAAAACGGATATAAACCCGATCTTAAATTCCCGCACTATATGCAGATTTAAAGGTACAATATGTAGGAATTTTTCGCCACAAGAGGGCGCAGTTACCAACAATAACAAAGGCGAAGCTTAATGACGCTATGAGGGAGAGTTGAACGATGGGAGAAGTCGTTTTCACCATCCAGAGAATTAATGAATCATGATCACGGATGAGGTAATTTATTTGTTTTTGTATTACCTGTACGTCTGATCGCAATAGTTTATGTCACCATAATGAATTAACTGCAAGGAACGCGAAATGTTATGGTATATTATCCTGTTACAGCTATTTGTCAAATGATTTGTTGGGTTAATGCTGTGCAGTTTTACGTGTTTATCGTTAATGCCATGTTGTTTTACGTGTTCAAACCAAAGTAAATTTGAACGAACATTTGCAAGTAATGACTAAAGGTTGTTTAACAACACATATCCGATTGTATTTAATTGCACTGCCACAATCTCGGTCAAAACACAAGTGATAAAAAGCATTACCAAAGTACAAAGAGCAATATAACTGAATTTTCATCAGCATAACGATCACTTGATAGTTTTTGAGGTGAATCAACATATGCATAATGATCTATCTGTCATGTCATATAGGCCTATGTATCTCGCATTGTTTATACGTGATATTATTGACAGTTGCATGTGTTGCAAGGAAACACAGATACAACCTTTTGTTTTATGTACATTTACTCACCTGTCTAATAAAGTACACTCACCTAAAGGATTATTAGGAACACCATACTAATACTGTGTTTGACCCCCTTTCGCCTTCAGAACTGCCTTCATTCTACGTGGCATTGATTCAACAAGGTGCTGAAAGCATTCTTTAAAAATATTGGCCCATATTCATAGGATA